GAAACCCCTCTTAAACTTCCTTACCTTTTTGCCTTCATCCATCATACGCTCAGGGAAATATCATCCCAACTCTAAGAACCTTCAGGCATTCTCTGACACTGTCATATCGTCTTGGACCAGGCGTGCAAACTCTTTTTCCTTCAAATGTCGAAGATGCTCTGGGAAGTATTCCTAAGTGACTAGAATGGGCATGGTGGCTTGTTTCAGCTGCCATCACCGACATATCTCACTCACAAGCATGTAGGTGGCAAGTACAACCTTCTATTCGGGACCACCCTAAGAGTTGTGAAGACCTTCTCTGTCTCTACTTTAAGGGAGGATGCCCCTACAAAGGTAAATGGGTTTAGTCTCTTTTACATCTCAATTGAGCCGGGGTCTATTATGGGTAGAACTAGGTCCCGTGGAAGAGGGACTGGATTATGCTGGGGAAGGGTCGGATAACCTTGTGGCGGCACCTGATTGTATAGTTGGGGCACTAGATTATACTGTTGCAGTGCCAGATGATATGGTGGAGCAGGGCTATATTGGGGTGGCACTGGATCTTTTCGTTATAGAGGTGGCTCATACTATGACAGTGGTGGAAAGTTAGGCAGCTCTCTTCTTTCTTTACAAGCCTACTGGGCGGAGATAAGTCTCTCCAGCATCTCAAATAGTCGATCGACATTCTCTCGAAGCAACCTATACCGAGCTACTCAGTTTAGTGGGAGTCTTCCACTCCTCATATCCTGGTACTTGTATTTCATAAGAGAGGGTTGAGTGTCGGGTTGTATTTCAATATTTTTAAATCTCTGTGTAATGAATGAGTCCAAGGAACGCGACTCTGATACTAACTGTAAAGGCAGAAAACTTAAAGGAAATGAATTTATATTTTAAATGTGGAAGCAAACAATAAAGTTAGGGTTTACATTCCTTACATAGTAAATTAGAATACCCAATAGGGTTACGGGATGTCCCTTCCACAGCGGCTCGTGAAAAGAAGTAAATAAATGATTAGAAATAAATAAATAAATATCTGATGGGTTAACCTCTACTAGCACTTGGAGGGAGTCCAAGAGGTAAACTACTCATAATCCTCTCGCTGATCAGGATCTAGATCTTGGTCTTCTTGATATGAAATGGTCAATAGAAGAGTGAGCTATACTAGCCCTGTAAGAATATTATACAAATCACTAATACGGAAAATGAAAATTGGTAAAAATCATGAAACGACTAATGGAGCCCTTAATTTAAGTAAATTCATTTAATATAAAAATCGTTATTCCCATACTTACTATTGTGAGTTTTCAAAACCAACCTATAAGACAAATACTCATATAATATTATAATTTTATGTACATGTGAGCAAGGTCGGCAATTTTCCTTTTTACCTGCTTATTGGAACCCTTGGGAGTTCATAGGGATATTCTCTTACTCGTTGACTCAATGTCTAGATTTGTCAATTAACCCGATCGCCCATACCTCGTCCAGTAATGGACGCCAAACACACTATCGTCTCAATACCCCGTTTGGTATGAGGGTGAACTATATCTTCCAAACCCTTCGATATGGGACTTCTCATACTCATCCGACTGAGATAATATTTACGGTAAAGTTTTTTTCTATGTACCGGGTCCGTTCACCCTTTTCCAAGGTACCCAGTAAGCTTTTCATATATAGATCCCCATCAACAAAATAACCACCAATCGCATACTAACATCTCATTTTATATTCACAAATTAATTAAATGGCATTTAGGCAAATAATACAATTTCATACCTTAACAATTAAAAAATGTAATTAGGGGCCATTATTTTAAATCAGTCAATTAGAAAAAAATAACAATTAGGCAATCAATAAAACGAGAAAGCAATTAAAAGTAATAACTTAAAGCACACAACCGGACAATAAGCAATATAGGCGGTATAGAAAAAATAAATAGGCAACACAGACAAGTTAGGGTAATTATACACTGATCAGTTCCAGCTCCACTAGTGACCTATAATCATTGTTAGGGTTTTTTTTTCTCTTTAGTCCTGACCTTTCTAAATTCGGCTTTTTCTTATATATATCCCAACGTGGAAGTAAGATGGTTTGAAATTGAGAAATGGTGTCCAGATTTTTGAAGTAATATTTACGTAATATTCAAACCGTTGAAAGTTACATAAATATAATAATAATTAGATTCTGTATTTATCCTAATAAAATAAAGAAAAAGTAAATTTTTTGGAAAATAATAATAATAAGCCAGGTAAGCGCTAGGCAGGCAGGTTGGCAAATGGAAAGAGTGAAAGAGGACCTTGTCTGGCTACGATCCTCTGTGCGCTCTCTCCCTCTCTTTCCTCGTTTCTCTTCGTCTGTCTGTTGGAGAGAGAGAGAGGGTGTTTTCTACTGCCAGTCTGTCATCTCTCTCTATATGCAAAGCATATCCTTCCTTTCTCATAATACCCCTTTATATAATATTATATACTATTAATCGCCTCCCTCTCCCTCTCTCTCTCTCTCTCTATATATATATATATATATACACATGTGTGTGTGTATATGTGCACCTTCCTTCAAATTTTGGATTGCTTCCTATTCTAGAGAGAGATAGAGAGGAACCCTAGGATTCGTCACCATGAGTCTCTTTGGCCTGGGTAGCAGGTATTTTTCTATGCATTCTCAACTCTTTCCCCCCATTGAATTCTTATTGTTGATGTTGCTGCTCTCATCTATCCTTCTTCCTGTGATGATTATTCTATGGTCTCCTTCTGGTTGTGTGTTTTCTTTCAATGGTGTCAAATATTGTTCCGATTCCTCTTGTTTGTAAAAATTGATCAAGTACGCCTTGAATTTAGTTTGACAACTTGGTTTTCTTAAAAAAAAAAAAAAAATCAAAAAAAGTTTCTCAAACGTGGACCTGACTCAGCTGGTGTAAAGACTTTGTTTCTCTACTGACTGCAAATACATAGATGCATATGCACATATAAACACACTTATGTGTATGTATACTGTATGTGTGTTTGTTTGCATGTATATATGTACAACGTATGCATTGATTTCTAGTTGTGAATTTGTGATTTCACGGCAAACATCTTTTGCACTTAGAAGAATATAGTGCGCCTCTGTTTTGGAATTTCAGATGACTTCTTCTTCTTCTGATTCAATTGAGTGTGTTGACTTCTTATCCTAGTATCAATTGTTAATCTATAATGAAGTTGAATGACTCTGTTATTAGATACCTTTGACATTTTGTTGACTGTTCTTTGGATGATTTGAATTGATTATTTCATGTGGCCTGTTTTTACTGATGATATATTCTGTATTGTAGTGAATAGTGACTATAATGAAGGATGCATAATCGCTTTTCTCTAATTACAAACATTACATGCTGCAAAATTGATTATTCCAATTGCATTGTCCTTGTACCGCTACATTTCCTGCTTAACTTTCTTTAAACATGAAAGTTTCTTTGTAACAATTTTACTTTTCTTTACCTAAATGTGCAGAAACCAGAAGACTTTTCGACCTAAAAAGAATGCTCCTTCTGGAAGTAAGGTTGTTTTTCTTCTTTCTTGCAACATAAGTTATTTATAATGTTTCTTTCATTCTGATTTTTCATCTTGAGCAATGCGTGTGTGGTTTCACAAATGCAGGGAGCTCAGCTTCAAAGACATATTGATGCTACCTTGGGTAGCGGAAATTTGAGAGAAGCTGTGAGACTTCCTCCTGGAGAAGATATTAACGAGTGGCTTGCTGTAAACAGTAAGGACTCTCAACATATGAATTTCTCGGCTGCTACACCATCGTTATATCAGAGTTTCAGTGATAATTTTGTTTTTCAACTCCTCAGTTTTTAGGTTAAGAAAAAGATTTAAAAAAAAAATGTTTTCACATCATTCTCCGATTTTCTAGACTAGAATATTCGTGCTTTAGTGGATTTAAAGCTGAGAAAAAATACTTATATTTTTGTTGTTTCTGTTTAAGCAGCGAACTTCAAATAACTTCCCTAATTTCTTTATATGACCAGCTAGAAGTTGATTTTCTTACTTCTATTCATTATGTTCTCCTACAGCTGTAGACTTTTTCAACCAAGTCAATATTCTGTATGGTACTCTAACGGAATTCTGCACACAATCCAATTGTCCTACGATGACGGCAGGACCAAAGTATCATTCCCCCTCTCATTACCAAGTTTCACATTTAATATTGAATGCAAAGGTTTACTAGTAGTTTCATACTTCATTTTTTAAGGTTGATTGAGAGAAGTTTCCATGCTATGAGAAAAAATCCTAGTCAAAAGAATCATTAGGGGTTTTCTTTTCTTGTTTTTTCTCTGCAAAGAGGGAACCTAGTCTTTCATACTGGCTGCATATTATCATGTCATACATTTACAGGACAATGACAGTTGTGATTCACCTGGTGTAGATACGAATATAGATGGGCTGATGGAGTTACTATAAAGAAACCAATAGAGGTGTCTGCTCCTAAGTATGTTGAATATCTGATGGAATGGATTGAAACTCAGCTAGATGATGAATCAATCTTCCCACAGAAATTAGGTAAGCAACCTTTTGCAGTGAAGCAACAAGAATTGCTGGATCTTCGATCTTCTCTTTTCTTAATTAGTTCTTGGCTGTATAGGAGCTCCATTTCCATCAAATTTTCGAGATGTTGTGAAGACAATTTTCAAGAGGCTGTTTCGTGTATATGCTCATATCTACCACTCGCATTTTCAGAAGATTGTGAGTTTAAAGGAAGAAGCTCATCTAAACACTTGCTTTAAACACTTCGTTCTCTTCACGTGGGTAAGTTTTAAGTCCCCGATGTTCCTCTCCCTTGCCCTTGCACGTAATTTAGGTACTCTCCAATCAGCTTTCAAAGTCTAATTGACTGCTACCTGATGCAGGAATTCCGCTTGATTGACAAAGGGGAGCTTGCACCACTCTATGACCTGGTGGAGTCTATCCTGCAATTATAGAGAAACCCCATATGACTTTTTTTTTTGGCTTTTGATTTTCTTCTTGTAGTTTGAATATTTGGGCACAAATTCTTTTGAATTTCTGTATGTCAGTTAATTTTTTGGAACCTTTCTAGTAAAATAGTCCATCTCTTTCCTTGTTTTTATTTTCATGATTATGTTCCAATTATGGGTTTATGTCTGATCTTCGCAAACTCTCCATGTTAGTAGATAGTTGTTAATTGTTGGGAAATTAAAAAAGGAGGAACAGGCAGGCATTATTTCCTGCACTAGCAGACTTTTCCTACAATTCTCGTGCTCTTATTATTTTTCCAGATACAAGACAAAATGATCCAGCTAAACATGTCACTTGGCTGGATTCCCAGATTCACCGTCCAAGACTTTTTAACTCGTTATTTTTTCGCCCCATTAATATTTTTCATTGAAGTGTCGTAATAGCCGACAAGGGTCAGGGCCCATAGTCATATCATGGTCTGTCGGTGTTTTTATGGGGGAGACTGATTCTACATATGCTACACGCGTAAGTTGTCTAAGTAAATTCTTCAAATAAAAAAACATCAGATGGTACTGCATATTCTCCACAATTCATTCACATTATAATTGTATTATTGACATCTAGAAATAATTGAATCCAATTACTATGACACAATGGTAATTGTACCTATTCTTTGCTCGAAATAGTAATCCTATGAATTATAGGACTAAACTTCGATGACTAATCTAAATACAACTCAGTTGGCTTACCTGCCTGCCGTCCCCTCATTTAAGCAAAAACATTGCGTTCAGTAGTGCGTACTGAAGAGAATGATTAAGAGATCCATGTTCATAGTACAAAGTATAGCAATTCAATTTAGTGTGTCATCTCAAAATGGTATACCAGACCCATCCGCAGTATTGTGTATACTAGCTGCAGAGGCAGAGAATGAAATTTTTGTTGCCCTTCACAACATCCTGAAGAACACCTGCCTCCTTCGCAAGCCTTAAGTGGGGGCATATATCTGGACATGGATTGATATGTCCACAGGAAATGGCTGCATATTCTTCTTCGCATGCTGTTAAACTGAAACCATGAAATAAGTTTACAAAAATGTGAACCTGTGCTTTCCCTCTACCTCTTCTGTTGTATTGTTTCATTTTCACAGATGCATCCTGGGTAAGGATTTGCATAGAAACTCTCCTCAAGCTTAGGAAACTCTCCCGGCTCCCTTAAATATGGACCTCCTACTCGATCTCTGTGAAGCTTTTTCACTTTAGAACTGAATTTCTTCCAAGAAATTCTACCCTCATCAAATTCATCAACAAGTTTCACAAAATTCATCCTGCATCACCACAATGATAATATACTTCAAGTCAATAAAATTTACTGAAGAACTGCAATTAAAAAAAAATCACCACATGTAAGATTTTAAGTTCTGTTGGAAGCAGTAGGTTGGAGTATTACTTGTCTGGATTGATGGTTTTCTTGAAGTTCTCAAATCGCCTGTGACCTTGAACTGCCTTTGCCATGTTACCATCGTACGTGTAAACAAACACATCGCTCTGCAGGGCAACAACATAGTCTATACCTGCCAACATGTTCTGGTGATTTCTGAAAGGATACAGCTCTTCTTCTGTGGCAAGAGTGGAGTGCGAGAAGATGTTGGGAAAATCATCCTTAAGGTATTGCATGCTTCCGTTCCCGTAAGCTTCACCAGCTACCAAGTAAATCCTGGTATCAGATGGGAAATCCAATGCTCTGAGCAAAAGGGAAGTTTCCCTGGGGGTCAAGGGACAGCCACCAAGTAATCTTCTCTCAGTCCCATTAATTTCTTTTTCCTTCCAATGACTGACCTCATATCGCATGTGACGTAGCTCATCATCTTCTTCCGATGTCAAATTATGGCTGCAGCCTGTGAATGCAAGCATATCCTTCTCATACCTATAATAGAAGGAACATTAAAAAGGAAGGAAAAGAGTTACTCAAAATCAATCCAATTTCTTTGTCATATTATTCTCTCTCAAGAAATTTTCTTTTCCATATCATAATTTATAAATATGAACCGAGGCTTCAAGTTTGTGTATCTGAAGTATAATGCTCTAAGATACAATAGCAGAAATCCCAGCTATAAATTAAGCCAAGACTGATTACACTCTTTGGCCTGATTGCATAACCTAGCGGGGAAAAACATGCCAACCATGTTTTCCGCTCAAGATATCCTCCAAGTTTAGGCAAGTTCATCGCATATTATACTGTTCCTCCATGCAATACGTACAACTAAGACCACTTAGTGAAGTTAAACAAGTCGTGTGGGCAAAGTGACGGCATAGACTCATGAGAAATAAATGGTAGGCAAAAAAAAAAAAGAAAGAATCTCTCCAAATTCATGGTGACACTTGTAGCAGTTGAATGCTGTTAATTTTTATATGAGCATGAAACAAATGTGTAAATTTAAATTTAATGAAATGAAGCAAGTAGATGCATTCCATAACCAACATTTCTGATCCATGCCTAGCATACTACAAAGATAGAAGGAATCAAGGTTCCAGTCAACTTATTCCTAGATCGACCTCAAATGAAGAGCAAGATAAGGGCTTCCATTCCGACACATTCTAGAAACCAAGGTGCTCCCAAGTTCTTCAATTGGAGTTGAATACTTTAATGCCTTGTAATTCACACGGCATCGCAGCTTCTGTATGGAAGTCGGGAGGCCATTGTTGGCAAGCCGGGAGTCAGAATGTGTAAAGTACACTATTTTGTGCTGCTTTAACAAAGGGAGGACCTCTGTTTTGTAATAACTAACCTGAACACAAAATACATGTGAATTGAAACTTATCAAAGAATGTATCGACAAAGAGACACACAGCACCCAATGTTGAAATAAAGAATTCCGATTAATATGAATAATTCTATGTAGATATAGCAATTATGTTCCAATTCAATTTTCAGTTAATGGGCTGTTTGAAAGACTGCATGAGACTAGCTTCCAGAAGAATTATTTTGCAAAAAAGACATTGCACCACTCAAATGGCAACATGCCTACAGCATCTTTAAAAATATCAGAGAACTAATGTCATTCATTTTTGCATACCTTGGACCAAGATATTGGTGTTTTAACAAAAGGCTCAATTCCGCTGAAGGCAGGTGGTAGTGTCTCAACTATGTGGATATCATCCTTCAATGTCTCAATGAAGTGTTGCCAATCAAACAGATCTTTAAAGCCACTGCCAATACATAAACAATTCAGTTGGCTAAGGGCCAATCACCAAAGTGTTCAAACGGGTGACAATGAAAAGCACTAATACAACCTAAATACTAAAGTAAGAGATCAATTGAACTATACAATAATACTGAGAGATACATGCAAGAAAGCATGGGAATGAACACTCCCATGGTCATGGTATTACAGAATTTCCCTTCCCCATTAGGCAAGTGGCTAATGAGCTCACACATACATATGTAGCATTTATCTTTTAAGACAAAGAAGATTTTAAATTCCTATAAATCAGGCTTATTCTACGCCATTTAAAGGATGCTAATTACTGAAGTACAGAAATAAACCTGTTATCAGCCCAGTATGAGGTGTGATCAAGTGAAGGAAGGACGAGTGTTGCCTTCATGATCTTAGCCACGGCAACCATATCGCAAATCTGCACTCTAAAATCATTGGCACATCAGAAACAACCGTGCTCACAAAATAGCAACTGTTTTAGACAATGAAAACACACAACAGCCAGACCCCAAATCTCATCTGATTCAAGCCACCATTAGCATTTATGAGAATATAACCATTTGTATTTGCATCTAGCCCTGCCAATAGAACAAGAAATAGGAATTAAGAGGAAGGAGAACGTTGGAATTACACTAGACAACAATAACAAGTCAGCTATTAATAATTTAGCCACAAAGATTTCCTACTTTTAGAACTTCTTCCACTGCCAATGCACTTAGTGAAATTCTCGCTGTTTGGTTTTGCCCAGATACCTGAATACTGAACAAGAACAAATTTCAGAAAGTAGAAAAATAGTGTTCACAACAAATCCACTCTTTCGCTTTCAATTTCAAAATAGACTGAAATTTATAAGTTCAGAAGGAAGGGGACAAAAAGGAAGAAGTCCATTCATCAGTTTTGCTTTAGAGACCAATTAAACAGAAATTAAATAAATTGTTCAAGATACAGACTCGAAACTTACTGCTGCCATGCCATTCTGGCTACCGACAACACCTGATGCTACCATCATCAGGGTGCGTTCAACATCACTCCCTCCTTCCCTATAGCCGTACTTGTGTGAGTCTTGACTGATTAGATTTAACTGAGAGATGGAGGGGTCAGATAAATCCTGGAGCAGGTGCAAAAGGATTCAATGATATAATGAAATATTAGAAGACAATTAGAGTAAATAAACAAGTACCTTAGCAAACTACAGGCAACATTTTTATAAATAAAATTTCCCATAAAGTGTGTTATCTCCAATGAAGAATACAATCTTAAAGTAATAGACGGTTTAACTCATGAAGAAGTTCAAAGGACGGACTTGTTAAAAGACAACATATCTACTTCCATATATATAAACAGAAGAAAACCCATTAATCTAATGGGCACAAATTGGTGTTGGAATTGATGTAGACAGACTAAGAAACTCGGAGTTCCCATGGTCGTCTGCACATTCAATTACTTGGTTTGACACGTTCCCTAAATTTACCTACTATGCCACAAAAGATTTAACTAATACGTACTAAGCCAAAGGCCTGTTTGGCAAAGGCTGAAAAGTGAGTGAAAGATCAATACTGCTATTGGCTCATAACTAATCTTAAAGATCATCTCCAAGACGTTTATAGATTTTCCTAACGCATAAAGACGTTTACAAGTTCACGAGAAACCCACCATACACCCAACAAGCATACTTTTCCAGATAAAACACATAGATTACGCAAAAGTCAGTCAGCTTCGCTGCAGCCAATCCTTTAACAGATAGCATACATGACTAAGATATAGTACATACGCAGCAAAACAAATACATCGAAGACGGGATTAATTAGCAGTGAACCTGATTGGAAGAAGCCATTTCAATAGTAGATCCAAACCAACCAGTTGCACAAATCTTGAAGACACCCAAAAATAAGCACACCCCACAGAAAACCAAGAACATCCAGTGGCCGAGTTTCTTCCTCTCCCTTATCCCCAACTCCAAAACCGTAGATCCTATAGGCTTCTTCAATAGACTCTTCACCTCTCTCTCTCTCAGGTTATGGTAGGTGTACTTCTTCTCCATCTGCAGTATGGAATCGAACCCATCAGAGGATGCAGAGCTGGGAGTAATCTCGGATCTGGGTGAGTTGAGATGCAGATCGATTTCATGGTGGGTGGTTAAAACAGAGGAACAACTAGTGCTGCTACAGTTGTTGCCATTGTTGGTAGAGGTATTGTTGGCGGTGTTGGAATTGTTATGGGTGCTTCCATTGTTATTGCGCTTGAAGGAGTGAGCTCGGCGGGTCATGGGACCCGAGAAGCGCGGGCTATTAACTATCTGAGAGACGCCATCAGTGGTGTTGTGATGGTGGTGGTGGTGACCCATCCTCTGGTTTCGCTGTTGAGCGATTTTGGTGATGTAGATAAATTTATTACCAATAATGGGGATTAGATATGGATGATATTGTCATTAACAAGATGAATCAGAGACAAGAGACAACTGGCTCGTCAACTTTTCTGATCAGAAAATTAAAAGCCGTAGCTGGAGCTCTGGCTGGTTGGGATTGCGGAGAACTTGGCCTGTCTAAGAATGTGAATGGCTGCTTTTCTAACCAAGTGAAAGCTAATTCTCAATTTTTTATTTCGATTAGACTCTGTACTAAATTTTTAAATTAGACTAATCAAGATTGGACTGTAGCAAAAGTAATTTGGTCAGACAAAATCAACCCTTGTTCCCATTATCGAATTTTCATACTGAATTATGCGTGTGTTCATTTAAATGTTTTTTTGTTTTGTTTAAAAAGAGTGAAATTAAAAATGAATATGATTTGATAGATGGAATTTCAAGGATGGTTGATATTTAAAGAAGCAAATTAGCGGAGCTGCCTGTTTATTACCAAAAAAATTAATCAATAAAATTTTCTACTAAACCAGCAATTAAAATTTTAATTTGTTGATTTGATTACACCTTCCTATTAACGTTTGCTGAAGAGAGAAAATTGTACAAATGTGAATTATTAAAATGAATTATATATCTTTTAGCATTTTATTTTTCTTGTCCAGTAAAAACAGATTAAATAAAGGTTCTCATATAGAAACAATCTAGTGGTCTCTACTTTCCCCTTATAAGTTGAAATATATATGAGTCAATAAATATTATTTATTATAAAATAAAATAAAAAATTATTTTATAAGGAAGTTTCATTTATTAACATTTTTAAGAAATTGATTAAAAAAAAAAGAGAAACAGGAGATAAATAAGATTTTTTTAAAAATGGAGCCTAAAACTGTCCAAAAGTCAAATGAAGGCAATGGGTCACATCCCACGAGCCGCCAACCATTTCTGACTCCGACCACAAACGCAAATCCATGAGTCTAATGTATAAGAGTGGCTATGGTTATTTTAAATATATATATATATATGGGAGACTACTAAAATAAAATTCATATAATTCATATAAAAAATATTCAACTTATATACTGATATATTACTCATTAACATTGTTAGCAGTAACTATACGTGTTCGTTGACGTAATAATATTTTGATATATTACTTATTATCATATCTTTGGTGTTTGCTTCGTCATCCTATTGACTCCCAATAAGAATATTTTGGTGATGAAAGAGTTAAGAAACTCCTAATTCTAATACTTAATAGTTTTTTGCCGTGATAATTAGTGATTCTAGCTTATAGAGTTATTTTTTTACCCATCAACCAATAAATAGATATTGCTATAGTAATTTAGGACAAATGCAATTTGACATTGTTAACATGGTTCCTTCTAGAACCGTCACAAAAGTTAAATGCATCTTTAAAAGTAAGAATTTACCAACCATAATTCGAAGTCCTTTAATTTAACAAAAATATGCATGTAGAGAGCTTAACAATCCTTAGTTCTAGTTCTATTAGCAAAACCTCTTACTTGGTATTGTAAGCCCTGAAAAACAAAGAAAAAAGATAGAAAAGAAAAAGAAATGTCCATTTAACTTATGTTGCATCTGTAATCTTGGACCTATTACACCCAACCTTTCTTTTGATAGAGTTCAAGGATTATGTCTCCATACTATTAAAACTTTCTTACTAAATTATATTTGATGCGTAATATAAATCAGGATCTTGCTTAATATCCTAAATTACTATGAAGTATATCAATAATTTTGGGCTTATTGATAAGTTGGTCTTCTATTTGATTTAAATAGATTTTCTTCAACATAACTTTCAACATTTATTAATTTATCTCATTGGCAATAATTGTTTGAGATTCCAAACTATTGATATTATATTCATCCACTAGTTAAAGCATATTCGGTTGAGAAACACAATAAAAGAGTTGCACAAAACATATATATAGCGAAGAAGAAAGAGAAAATACACTCAATGAAATGTATATCACATAATAAGAAGTGAAAATACAAAAGAATAAATTCATTTTATGCAAATGGGATGCCTTATATAGGCATATAATCTATGTCACTAACTTCCTCACTAACACTTTAGCTTCTTCATTAACAAACTAACATCTCCATTAATATACTAACTTTTCTACTAATACACTAACTTCTCCACTAATATATTAACTTCTCTACTAAATTCTCTTGACTTAATAAAAATAAACTCTAACATCTAATTTAACAAATCAAACTAAAATATACAGTAAACTCGGTCAAATGAATGGCTGGTATTGTAACTTTAATACTTCTCCTCAACACCAGGTTTCATTCTTCCCACCATCCCGAGTTGATGATAAAAACTTCCGAACCTGTTGCCACTCAAGTCTTTTGTGAACAAATATGCAAATTATTCCTTCATATTAATACACTTTAACCTAATTTCCTCTTGCAAAACTTTTTTCTTGATGAAGTGATAACGCATTTTCACGTGTTTTCTCGCGTGAAAAACTAGATTCTCAACCAAACATATTATCGATTAGTTATTGTAATATAGAGAAATTGCATAGCTTGTTAGTTGATACAGGTCCTTCAACAATCGTATAAACCAAGCACTCTCTTGCGTTATCATTACTGCAGCTCGATACTCTGTTTCTGTCATTGACAAAGACACAATTAATTGTATTTTGTTGCACCAAAAAATTGCTTTGATCCAGGTATAAAAATATATTCAATAATTGAACATCATTTATTATGATCACCTGCATAGTCAGTATCACTTAACCAACTAGCTTATAGTCTTTACCTTTTTTATACAAGATGTCATAGCCAAACATAGTTTTCACATATCTCAGAATTTATCATATTGCTTTTAAATGTGGCTTCTTTAGATTTTGCATGTATCAATCATCACACTATCTGTAGAAGAAATATCAGGTTTAGTTAAAGCTAAATAGCTCAAACTACCCACTAGTTGTCGATACATTGTTATGTCTTCTAAATCTCTCCCTTTATAAGCACATATTTTGGTATTTGACTCTATTTGCATCGGAATTGGCTTGCACTTCAACATTCTAAACTTCAACAAATTTTTATAATATTTTTACTAATAAAAAAATATTCTTTTAAATACGATCAACCTCTAGACCAAGAAAATGTTTGAGTTGCCCAAGTTCTTTCATTTGAAAATGAAGTGATTAATTCTTCCTTTTTCGGAGAATTTTTTCTTCACAATCTCTTGTTATGATAAAATCATCCACATACACTAGTACAATTGCTAGCTTTTCTCGATTAACTTTGACGAACAAACTAGAATTCTTAGGTGTCATCAAATAATTACTATGACTAAGAAATTCAACAATATTGTCATATTAAGCCCTAAGTGTTGCGTTAATATATAGGATTTTGACTTTGAAAATTCATCGATTAATCCATGAAGACCTCTTGCTCCAACTCTCTATAGATATGTGTATTCTTCACATCCATCTACCATAAGTTCTAATATTTGCTTACTGCAAATGTGAGTAAGAGTCGTACTGTTATAAGCTTTGCAATTGATCTAAATATATTTCATCATAGTTTAGTTCATATTATTGAGAGAATCCTTGAGCTATCAAACAAGCTTTATGTCTTTCAATTGATCCATTTAGGTGATGTTTTATCTTATAAACTCACTTATAGGAAAATTAGTTTCATATCTTTATTTCGGCACAAGTTCCTAAGTCTAATTTTGTTTTAATGAAACAATTTCCTATTCTATAACTTTATTTTGCTCTAAATTTTGAGATGTTTCCTAAATTTTTTTTTGGTTTTTTTGTATCCACTTCTTCTACTATCGTAGTGTTGGTATATTTGGGATTTGGCTTTCTAGTTATTGTTCATCTTCTGAGTGAAATTGGCACTCCCGTTTCACTAGGTTCATTTTCTTCATTTCTTCATTCATATACACCAGTTTGCCAAAGACTTTGAGCTAAGCATTTTTCGACATCATAATTATCATCTACATCTTTAGTTTCACCTACACTAAGTTGGATTTATCTCATTTTCTAAGACCACCATGAGGATGTTTCATCAAAAACTACATTTTCGAAATGTGTAGCACTTCCCGGTTATAGGATCACAATATTTGCACTATTTCCTTTGACTGTCATATCCCACAAAGATACAACTAATAACTTTCTTGTCAATCTTGCTACATAAATGATCAAGTACAAATACATAACATAAACATCCAAAAACTAAAAAGTAACTAACTATAAGTTTTACGTTCCATAACTTTTCAAATGGTGAAAGAAAACATAACCTTTGTTGATTAATCACAAAGGTTGCAGTCTTCATTGCTTCTGCCCAAAATTGCCCCATGACATTTATCGCATGAAACATATTACAATAAACTTATAGGTGTCTATTCTTTCTTTCTGTTATGCTATTTTATTGCAGAGTGCTAGCACATGTGAATTGATAGTGTATTTGACACTTTTGAAGAAATCGGAGAACTCATCTGAGGTATACTCTCTCTAATTGCTGGTACACAGACAATGAACTTTTTTTTTACCATCCTCTGTTTGTACTATCTTTTTAAATCTTTAAACTTTAAAAGTGTTTCATATTTTTTATTAAGATAATAAATTCACAAATACCTAGAAAACTCATTAATAAAAGTATCTATATATTTCATCCCACTAGTAGAGACTTATTTGACATATCCAAACACATCAGAGTGAATAAACTCTAATGGCTCAATGTTTTTAATTTTGATTCTTTGTATGTCAACTGCTGCATTTTCCCTTACTGACATCCCTGCACAAATTGTATTTGTTCTTATTTCAAGTTGGGGAAGTCCCTTCAACATTGACTTTTCATCTTCATATTTAGTTTGTAGTCTTGTTCTTCCTCGCCTTATCAACATATACAGTTTCTGCAAATGTCACATAGACTAATTCTAGTCTTCGTCTCTTCACCGGCTCTTCAATAATATCAAAGTTATGATATACCTTCATATCTTGCAGAATAAACAAAACAACATGGCCTAAAAAGATTAATTGTGCTATTCAGAGAAGATTTTTCTTCATACTTGAGACATGGTAGACATTTTAAAGTGACATCTTTGTAGCACTATTACTGATGTAAGCTATTGGTAACTTTAGTTATTTGTTGTCACCACCACATGACTTTTTTTGTACTCTGACAAATTATGTGGCTTTTCTTAATCACTAGTCATATGATTTAAGCAATGCAAATCAACGATTGAACCT